AAAGCAATTTTAAAGAAGAATGTGGATCTTTTCACCGAGCTCTGGGATTCAGCGTCTGGAGAGCCATCCTCGAGGTTGAGACCCGTTCTCCGGGGCACGGCAGGCGAGCGGGCCTGTGTCGCCGCAGTGCAGCGGGTGGTCAGTCAGGAATTCCCGTGACAGCAGGAACGGCGGGCACAGCCTCAGCAAGCAGGGGTGTCTCTCCCTCGCCCCCACAGGGCACCCCAGGACCCAGGCTCCTTGGGATATAGTGGGGGTATCTGGCTTGCAGCTTTGCGGGCCCAGGAACTGAACATTGTCATGTCTTGTCTAGAGAAATAGTTCAAATTCACACTATTCAGGAGGGACGGGTCGTAGAGAACTGCTGACTTACTGGTTTAAAGAGAGCATCATCACTGCTGAGGCGCTGTGATCGCCCTGTGGGTCAGCGTAGTTCTGTCCCAGGAGGGGGTCTGGTGGCGCGCGGGTGGTTCGAGGATGGTTGGACAGCAGGAGCCGGAGCGGAGCGTGGTGTCATCAGCCCGATCAGTCAGCAGCCCCAGGAGGGAGTCACACACACCCCCCCCCCCACCCTCCGCTTGCCTGTGACCTTGGCTTGCAGGGCTGGAGTTGCTTTATCCTTATCCTGTAAGTCTGGATGCAAACTGAGTGAGATTTTAAAGGGACTCAGTGATTTTTTAAGGCAGATTGGAATGTCTGGGCTTTCAGAGTTCAAAATCATAAAGACTGATTGTGCCATTCCCCACGCTGGACTCATCGCCTCTCGAAAAGATCAAGCCGGGTTTCATTACTATGATTTTGACAATGTAAGCGGAATTTAGATTTTAAATGAAAGCAGTAAAAATTACTATAGAGATGAGTTTCTGGGGCCTCCCTGGTGGCGCAGGGGTTGTCTCAGCACCGTGAAGCTGTCACCTGCCACTGCAGCACAAGTTCGATCCCCCGGCCAGGGAGGAGACCCACAGGGCGCGGCAGACCTCTCCTGCCTCGCCCGCTGCTCCCCTCAGCAGTGGATTTCAGTGGATCCGCCTGTTCTGCTCCCTGCTCTGTCTGGTGAGTCCTCTCACACCCCTCACGTCTGGCCTGTACCCCAGCTCTTGTATGCATAAATAAATAAATCGTTTAAAAAATGAGTTTCTGAAATATTGTTGATGCTTTATCAATTTTCATTTTACTGATGACGAGAAGGCTTGAAGGGCGTCAGGCAGACATGCTCACGGCATCTGAACAGAGGACTGAAAGGGAGGCCAGGTGAGGTGTCTGCTTCCTTGTAAGGAGCAGCAGGCACCTGTGGCTAAGGTGCCCTTTGATAAAGCTCTAAATCAGCCATTAGTCCCTGGGCGTGACCGTCAGAGTGACCGGCATACATGTGTACATGTGGGTTTTCTTACGTACATACGCGTGACCCCATCCTGGACGTCCTGAGCAAAACCTTCACGGCGAGGTCTCAGACAGGTCTGTAAAGACCCCGAGGGCTGAATCTTAATCACAGTTCCCGGCTGAAGAGCCCGTGGGCCGCCGGATGCCGGCACGAAAGGCCTCTGGGGCAGGAAACGCGATGGGCCTGTCTGTGCGCGGCGGCTGTGTCATTTCCTCGGCCCGGCCCGCGCGGGGAGGCGGGGCGGACGGGGTCCCGGCTTTGTTGTTTGTCCAAGATATTGTTGTGTTTGGGTATATGGGGTGAGAAGCTATTCAACCCGCGCTACTTTATTGAAGTTGAAAACCCGTATAAACAATTTGGTTTGGTAATGAAATGCAAATGGTGTGTCTTGAGAAGCCCAACGCAAAAGCCATTTGCGTTTTGCTAAAATTGTTCCCGTGTCCTGACGAGGCGAGGCAGGCGCTTCATCGTGAGCCGCCGGTCACCAAAGTGAGCCGTGTGACTTCATGAAGCGTCGTCTTCATTTTCAGAAAACTTAAAAACCAGTATCTTGTTTTCATAGGAAAGTTATTGGGTCTTCCACTGAAATCATCTTCAGTTTTGGAAACAAAAGTATTGGCTTGGGATTTAAAGAACTAACAGGCGCCGCGGCGCGTAAATGAACACGCTGAGGTTCCCAGGAAACAGCTCTGCGAGCCTCCTTGACTTTGCAAAGAAGCTGAGGATTAGAGGGTTTTGCAGAGTTGCCTTTAGCAGGCGGTTTGCCCCCAGGGCACATTGTTGCCATAAACCCATGTCTAAGAACCTGTTGGGGTAGGGGGGCCCCCACCCCCTGCCCCCGCCTCCGGGACCAGTGAGCCCAGGTTGGGACCAAGAGCCTGCAGCATTCCCGAGAGCCAGGCCAGCCAGGCGTCCCAGGGAAGCGGGCCCGGGGGTGACAGTCGTCACGGCCACAGAGCACCCCGGCCTCTGTGGTCAGCGGGCCTTGTCGTCACTGGGCTTCTGGGGCCTTGTACTGCTCAAGGGCAACCGGAGCAGGCGGAAGCGGGGGGTCGGAGCCTTCCCCCAAATTTTAAGGTCAGAGCCGAGAGATCAGGCTGGCTGCTGTCACATTCCATTACGTGTGTGCGTCACAGAGCTGTGGGGTAGAGGACAAGGCAGGATCTGCCCTGGACAAACGTACTCTCTGGCGTGGGAGGCCGATGGCTCAGAGTGACCACGTGGGCTTCCTTCTATAAAATAAGATTCTCAAGTGATGGCTCCTCTGCCGGCAAGGGCGGGGGTCAGGGAACAGCCGGGATCCCAGTGTCTCGGCGCAGTCAGTGCTTCTGTGTGGCTCCAGCAGGCCCGGAGCAGGTCTGCCTGTGGGGGTCCCGGCTCTCCCACACGGCCTCGCAGGGAGTCTGGGCCCTCGGGGCTCTGCGGCCTACCTCGAGCTTGAGACGTGGCTCGCCTTGGACATTCAGCAGAATTGGGTCCTGTGAGAACAGAGACCTAGTTATGCGTGAAGGCAAAATTGGTACCTCGCTTTCCGAGTATTGAGGTCCTTGATTTCCGGGGCGATGAGCATGTGCTCCTCTGGGCCTTCCACTTCTCATTTTGTCAATTCTTGGGTCTGCTTTTCGGTCACAGAATTACTCTTTTGCTGTCCAGCGATAGCTCTTTTCGTGTTAAAGATGACAAATCTTCAAGATGTATGTTTACGATTTTTACTTGTCTTTTGATCTTGTGCTGTGCCGAACCAAAAATTTTCTAATTTCTATGAGAAATGGACCCGTGTTTCTCAGCTGGGCGGGTCCTTGGGTGCCGGCCACAAAATTTCCTTTCTGTCCCAGCTATATGCGAAGGGTCTCTCCTGGGGGCCTGCAATTTTCCTTTTTCCGTCTCAATCTCTAATACCAAAGAAATTTATTTTGATATTAGAAATAAAACCTAAGTTTAGTGTTTTGAAAGTGCTTAACAACTTGTCAAAAGCCATCAGTGGAAGACTCCGTCCTACCCAGCACACTTACTGTGTGTTAAATTCTCCTGCATGTGAACTTGCCACACACACATCCCTGCACACATGTGTTTCTAGATGCACGTATTTCTGTGTCAGTCCAGAGACAGAGACGCTATCGACGTGGATCCTTATGTTCCTTTCCTGCTTCCGTTTTATGCCATTGACGCGTCTGCCCCTCCGGCAGCCACCACGGCTCCAATGAAATGTTTCATCTTAATAAGACCTTCTGATCTGTTGAGACACAGTCGACCCACCCTATAACTCCAGACTCTCTTGCTTAGTCCTTTGAGAAGGTGTGGTCTCAGGTTTCCCGTCTGGAGGCCCTGCCTTTTCCACAGACACAGCCGCCTAGCGTCGAGCCTCCTGGAAGAGGAGTCCGGTCTCCTCACTAGCGCTGGCAGGGTGGAAGTTTCCAGGGCTACCGGGTCCCTGCAGCAGCGCCCGTGGGGACTGTGCCGGAGAACCCCAGGCTTGCCCGGAGCCAGGAGGAGCAGGAAGGGAGGCCGTGCGCTCACAACCACACCCGGCTATTTCTGGAAGGGCACGTGACGCTGCCCGCATGTGCGCGGCCCATTCTTCTCCCAGGGTGTGGCAGAGAAAGGAACAGCCCCAAAGCCATCTTTTAGAAAGTGCAATGAAGAGCGGGGAGACCAGGTCTTGCTTATGCACAAAATAGAAACAGAGAGGCCCTCTGAGGCTCGGCATGAAGCAAGCTCGGTGCCCTCCGGCCGGCTTGTCCTGACCGCTCAGGTCACGGCTGACCCTTCCAGCATGTGCCGCAGTGAGCGGGGTGACCCTGTGAGCAGCCAGGGGCCTGCTTCTGGAGCAGCTTCTGGCCGCAGCAGGTGAATCTGTACAGTCCCTGATGCTCTTGTCCCAAAGCAGGGGCGGAAGGAGGGTGGCTGCGGCCGGCGAAGCCGAGACACCAGCCACGGGGGTGCAAGCCGGGCCACCCGACACACAGGCAGGCTCAGCTGGCGGCGGCGGGCCCAAGCAGCAGGTCACGCCCACGGCACAGCGTGTGGGAGAGCCCTGCCCCCGGACTGCAGGCCTTTCCCAGGGAAGCTCCCCGGGGCCAGCGCGGCCCCCTCCTCCGCCGCTCGCCAGGGACAGCCCGCGTGGTCGGGCAGCCACGTCTTGGCCTCCCCGGTGGCCCTGAAGCATGTCTGCTTCCTCAGGAGCAGCCGTCCGTCCCATGCGGGCTCGTGCTGGGCTCCGGGAGGCCGTCCTCGCTGGCCGGGCCCTCAGGTGGGGGTGGAGGGTGAGTCCTGTGGATCTCGGTTAAGACCTGACCCCAGACAGGGGGAGCCTCCCGATGCCGTGGGGCCGGGTCCTGCGCAGAGGCCCTTTTTGGGCACCCCGAGTGCCCTTTCCACGCGGGAGTCCGAAAGCTGTGCCCCGTCCTCAAGGAAGACCTGTTTCTGCTGGCAACGCCTCCTGGCCTTTTTATGGAAGAACAAAATAATGTCGTAACAAAAACACAAGTGGCTGCCAAAGGAAGAGGAAAAAAAGTTCCTGGAAGGGGCTGAAACAATAAATCTCCTCTCCGCTCAACTCCCAGAGGGAGCAAGCATTTCCTCCGGCCCTTTATCTGGGCCCCGAAATAAGCAGGAATGGGCCGGGGCCCTTCCCAGTCCTGCACCTCGTCGGCGAGCGCACCAGGCGCAGCCAGGCTGCCGCAGCCGCCGAGCACAGAGAAGCAGAGGCCCCGCGGTGCGGCCCCACCATGAGGCTGCTGGCCCTGGCGCTGCTGTGCGCCCTGCTGTCCGGCCCCTGCAGCGGCGAGGACCCAGGTACTGTCCGCTGACCCCGGGCCGTGGCCGGCCCCTGGGAGGGCACCTGGCCTCCACTTACCCGCAGGGTTGCCCTGGCCTGGCCGCAGCGACCCCTGTGGGGTGGGGTGGGGGCTGCCCTGGCGGGCTCAGAGCTGTCACAGAGGCGGGGTGCTCTTCAGAGAGGCTGACTCCGGGGTCAAAGCTCTTGCCCCGGACGGGCGGCTGCAGAGTGGCCCAGACGTGAGGACGTGGCCGTGTGGCCGGAGGGGGGCCTGCATGCCCTCACCGTCCTGGCCGTGCTGTCCCAGCCGCCCCTCGGCTGGCAGGCTGAGAGGTCGAGGTGGGAAGCTGTCCAGGGGAGTGACTCTGAACATCTTGAGGGGCAGGGGCTGGGGCAGGGAGGGGTCATTGCTTGGAGAGCGTACCTGTCGGCTCCGGAAGTTCGCCGGTATCCACGCACGCCGGCCACAGGCTGCCTAACGTTAGGGGCTACTTAACGGCATAGCCGGGCCCCAGCTGCAGATGCCAGACCCCACAAGGCCTGGGCCTGCCCCCGCGACAGCGTCAGACCTGACGCCTCCCGGGGGACGTGGGTGACCCGGACGCCTCCGTGTCTCAGCCCCACGCCTCGCCCTGCGGGGACAGAAACAGGGCGACGCCGGCCACGCCCGGGGAGCACCTCCTGCCGGGGACCTGGGCCTCCGACTCGGCATGCACTTGATCCGTGCAAGATCCGGACTCCCCTCCCCCGTCGGCAGCGCGGCCGGCCGGGACTGGCTTTGACGGGCCAGGCCGGGCACACTCGGCGCTCAGGGTCTCGTCCACACCTGCCGCTGCGAGCACTGGTCTCCAGGAGCGCGCCCTTCCCCGAGCAGCGCTTCCCTGCGGGGTGCTGTCCGGGGGACCCTCGGACACCCAGAGCCACGGGCGGCCCCCACCCTGCCTTGGGGCCCCGGGCTGGTCCGGACGAGAGTTTGACTTGGGGGAGCTGCTGCTCAGAAGCTCATGTTTCGTTGTTTTTTGTTTTTTTAAATTTAAGGTTTATTTTGCTTGACCTGCTCGCGTCTCGGTTTGCGGCCGTGCGGGATTTAGAGGTGTCAGGTCCCCCCCTCAGGCGGGCGGGCTCTGGGGGTCTGGTGGTGAGTGTGGGGCGGCAACAAAGGCTGACTTTTAGATAGACTGTTTCGGAGGCACCGGAGCACCCACCGCTGGGCACGTCTTCGGAGAGCGGGAGGCGTCCAGGTGCCGTGACCCCGGCTCTCAAACAAGCGCCGGGCGGGGGTCAGGGTGGGGGGCCCCTGGGTGCCCGCCGCGGCCCTCCACGGCTGGTCCTTCTGCACCACGACCACAGTCCAGCGGGGGGGGGGAGGGGGCGGGTAGCTCCGGATGACGGGTAATGGGCAGGCGTTCCCTGCTGGTCCCCGAGCTCCGCGGCCACCCCCTCTGCTGACGCCGTCCCAAGCAAGGTGGGAGCACTGACGTGGCGACTGTCCCCACCGCCAGCCTTTCCGGTCACTCAGGGCGGGTGTAAAGGTGCCCGTTTGTCTCAGGACAGGCTCCCGCGAGCCTGGGTGGCCCGTGAGGGCGCCCCCGATCTGGGGCGACTCCCCGCCCTCAGCGGCCCCTGCAGCACCTGGCTCTGCCCGCCCTGACTTCTCTCCCGGACACGGAGCAGGAAATGAAGCGTTTCCTTGGCTGAGGCACTAAGTTCTTTCCTTAGCCCCGTGCCGGAAACATATTGATTTCAAAGCGTTTTATGTCCCCCAAGTTTAGAATCTCCACACACAGTGCAGAGTGGGCTGCTGGGGGCGCAGGGGACCAGCTCCCGGGAAGGCCCAGGGCTTGCCGTGCAGGAGTTTTCTCCTAAAGAAGCGCCTCCTAGGGAAACGCGCTGCTTTGCTGTCCGATGCTCTCTCAGCCTCCAGCTGGAACAAGCACGGCGATGTCGTGGTGGCTTGGTGGAAATCAGGGGCTCTCCGCACGCGAGTGACCCCCTGTTCCCGCGGGGGTGTAGCAGGTCATGGTTTCGGATTTGGAAAGTGATTCCGGGGGGCATGTTCCCCAAGAGGAGCTGTGCCTCTTCCCAGGGCTCTCTGAGTTGCACGGGAGGCAGAACAGACGCCCGCGGGGACTTGTGAGCCACTTTGAGTTTTAAGTCTGGGTGGATGAGCTGCAGCTGTCTGGGCGAAGAGAAATGAAAGAAAGAGGAATTCTAAGAAAAGGGGATGGCCTGGGAGCAAGTTGCCCCTCCAGTGCCGTTTGCTCCTTGAACTCTGCATGAAGGTGGGAAAGATGAAATGTTTCAGACGCCGGCAGGCAGGAGCGCACACCACTTCATTCTCTCTGAGGAGGACACCAGTTGCTTGGAGAATTTCGTCTGTGGTGCTTGACCCTTCAAGCTCACGGGGAAGGCGTGGCCGGGCACAGCCTGAGGCAGATCCCGAGCTGGCTGCTGTGGGGTGACCTGCGGTGCTCGGCCTTCGCCCCGGGGCGGCTGAGAGGGGAGGCCTGCGGGGTTGTGAGCTGAATCATGTTGTCAGGCTCGAGCGGTGAAGGATGACACGAGAAGCCATCACCGGCTTTATTCTGGGTGTAGGGACGTCAGGGAAGTCTTCACATAAAAGTGCAAATTGTGACCAACTTTGGAGCTTGACCGTCAGGAAGTGCAGAGGATGGAATTCCTTGAGAAGAAACACTCAAAAGTCCGTCTGTCCAGTTCTAGGCGGTCTGGGGCTGGGCACGGGTGGGCTGGGCAGTCAGGTGGGAACAGCCCGAGGCCACGCCGCCTGCCAGGAAGAGGGAGCCTGGCCCGTGGTGGTGGTTAGCGTGGCTGCTAAGAGCGCGCGGGCGCCGGGCGTCGTGTGATGGCCCCTGAGGTGGGAAGAGGAATCTGCCCGCAGGATGTAACTTCCACAACCGTGTGAGGAAAGGTCAAAGTTACGGAACATGGTGCCGAGGTCAGAGCCCGTCACTGAGCTGGGGGGGCGCAGGGAAAGCCAAAGGCCGCGGTCCCGGCGGCAGGGAGGCCCGGGCCGGCGCCTGCGTGCCCAGCAGGGGTGGGGCGGGCAGAGGAGGCCGGGGGGCTTTGGACAGGCGGAATGGACACCCCGCGGCCGTGCTTAACTGGACATGTGCGGCGGTAGCCAAGGCGTGGTTGGGGGGCCCGGCTCCGACGGGGCGTGGGGGTGAGTGTTCTCTCCTCGAGACCGCTGGGTGCCGCCCTGTCAGATCAGCAGCTCGGAGAAGTGGCTTCTCCCTCCGGACCGTGTTCCTGACTCCGCCGGCCTCCACGCCTGTCTCTGGCCTCTTCTGCCAGACGGTCAGCAGCTCTCGACAGAGGGGGCGTCGCCGGCACGGCTGGTCCAGTACCGGCTTTTTAAATATCTTACGTCATTATTTATTTTTTACTTTTACTTCATTATTTGTCTTTTCCAGCTCTGCCTCAAAGCCACAGCGGGCACATCATTCGTGCAGCGAGGGCGCGGCGCGTGGCGCAGCCGCCGGCTTCTGTCCCCGCGTCCCCTCTGTCCCGTGCGAAGGCCGGCGTGGGCCGCGGGGCTGGCAGGGCCTGATGCGGCCGTCGCGTGGGCGAGGCCAGGGTGGGGCGCCGGGTACGCGGAGGGGCCTCTCAGCACAGGCACCGGTCCCCGACTCTGGCGGAGGAGGGAGTGGGGAGCAGGGGCAGCCCAGCGCCCGTGACGCACCCCGTGCCTGGGGGAAGCTGCTGTGAGCGGGGGCGGGAGGGTGACTGGCTGCGGACAGCTGGCTCCTCTCTCCTCTCGGACAGCAGACGTGCCGCGGGACGCCTCATTCCTGCAAATACTCGGGGAGGCGCTCGCTCTCCGCCGACTCTTAAAAACACACGCCGCCTCCCTCAACAGCAGCGCGCGTGACAACAGGGGCGTCGGGGGCGTCGCCTGAGCCGGATGGTCCTTCTAGGCTCCGCGACCCGAGATGAAGACAAACCCAACGGGAAGCGTTTTCAGCCCCCGCTGCTTGTTTCGCGTTCCTCCCCCGTTCACCCCCCCCTTCTATCATTCTAGAATTTCTATTCCCAAGGGTTCAGAACAGCCTCGGCAGCCCAGTCTCGGGCTGTCTCTTGCTGGTGGTAATGATGCGGGTAAGCGGGGAAAGCCAAAGAAGCTTTACGTTTACGGACAATCGTCCACCCTTTCCACGCATGAAGTCAGTTGAACTTCAGGGACGCGCTTAACGCGTGACAGTGACCCAGCCCGGCCACTGAGCGTCTCCCTTCCCCGTCGTCGCTGTCCAGTCTCTGCGTCTTCGGGAACAGGCTGAGAGGCACCTTCCAGACGGTGGCTGTCGGGGCCGGCGCCTACCGAAGCACGGTTGGCTGCTGTGCACCATCTTGCTGCCGCCACGTGTGCACAGCTGAGCTGCCGCCTGGAGCAGCCGCGCTGCTGGCGCTGGGAGACGCTCCTTCAGGGCAGACACCGTCTTCGGTCGCGCAGACACCAGTGTCAGCCTGTGAAACCCGGCTGGTGTGGATCGTAACTAGAAAGGCCTCTGTGTTTGGGGAGACTGCAGAGAAACCACTTTCGAAACCTGCGTCGAGGGCTGTCCTGTGGGGTGACTCCTCGGTGGGGACCGTCACGCTGGCCTCCAAGGGGCAGCAGCCACCCGCGTGCCTGGTCCCGTCCACCACTGCCCGCCACCCGTCACCTGCAGGAGCCCCACCCGCTCCGGCCTCACCTGCTGCCTCTTCCTGCCTCCCCGTCTGTTGTCCTGATAACAAAGCAGATGGCCCTGCAGCTCCCCCAGGCGAGGCTGCGTGCGAGGGAAGGGCAGAGCTGTCCAGGGATGAGACTCCGGGCGATCCTGCCCAGAGGGGCCTGAGGCCTCGAGCCGGCCGCCTTCTCCGGCGGTGATCCTGCTCCCCTCCGTCCCGCTGCTTCCACCGCTGCCCCTTCCTTGTCAAGCCTCTGCACAGGTCCCTCGTTGGAGACTCAGCTTTCTGGAGAAGCCCAGGGTTTCTCTCCTGCTGCGCTTTCCAGGGG